ACATCTGGTGAAAATTTCATGTCATTAGCACCTCTAGTAATATATTTACTGAGAAAAATGGTGACGTGTTCAATACTTATTTTACCCGCTATATGTATTTTAATGCATGTTTTTTAACCCTCATACCGTCCTTGGGCCAAAACGAGCCACAGCTGGAACATCTGCACTGCGGCGCTCATCTCGCAACTCTCATGAAATAGTCGGAGCCGTTCATACATTTCTGGGTTTGCTGCTAATGAATTTTGACATCTTAATGAGGCTGAAATGCAGAGCCGTCTCTGAGCGTGTAATTAAATATAAAGTAACGAGGAAAAAAAACTGAACGAGTTTAAAGAATCTTAAAGAAGCCGAGGTTTTCTCTGCTAACGAGTTCAGCAGAGGAGCAGGTGGGTGTTGGTGAAAACCTGAGGTGGACCAGCTGTTTGGAGCTGAAATCTAATCTAAAATCACTGCGATTAAGATCTGTGATTCAGCTACCAGACTGTAAAAATCCACCAGAACCAATCAGACGGACCGACGMCAGAAACGCTGAATAACAGCCAAAACAAGGACATGAAATTCAAAGTATAAAAACTGTAAAAATGAAACAATCTAAACAACAAAATAGCAAATCCATGGGTACAGGCTATCAAAAGCTAAAAACTAAAATGAGCAAAATTATACCTAAAAGTACAAAATAGTGAAAAAGTAGTTAAAAGATATAACAAAACTGTAATTGTAACTCAAGCTTGAGATTATGAAAGACATCAGCTAAAAGCCTAAATTAGCTAAAAAAAAAAAAGGGTGGAGGTAAAGGTACAGTACTGTACGATCAGCTTAAAGCTAAAATTAGCAGCAACATAGTTAAAATTAACCAAACTTAATCTTTGGCTAAATGCTAAAATTTTTAAATGAGTAGCTAAAGGCTAAAGTTAGCATAATTATGGCTAAAGTTTCATACAGAAACACTCTAGCTAAACTTTAGACCATAGCTAAATGAATTAGCAAAATTGTAGTCTTAGCTAAAGGCTTGAATTAGAAAAAAAAGTACCTAATACAAWTTTAAACAGTAACTATTGGTAGTACAATATTAAACTTAGCTAAATTATAACTTATAGTTATGTTTAGCTTGGTTAAAATTAGCTAAACAATAACTAAAAACTAAACGGAGCATTGGAAGAGAAAGAYTGTTTACAAAATGTAATTTTTTTAACAAAAGTCATCAATGAAGCAGAAACTTTTGAGATTTGATTTATTAAACTCAAAGTCTGTGGTGATAAAGTGGTAAAAATGTAAACAATAAAAAATGTCTCTTTTCCCTCCCAGCATGTTTTGCTGCTCCTCTGCACCGTTTCACATGGACGTGTTTTACAAGCCTCTTCTTTTTTTTAAAGGCAGATGTTTCCCTCTGTATCTGCTCAGGGTCAGCCCTACATGCCAGCAGGAGGAACCCATCCAGGGATCCCCCCGGGCCAGATTCACCCCATGCAAATGCCGCCCAGCATCACCCTGATGGACCGCCGGCCGCCGCACGACTACCTGCCCATCGCCGTGCTCACCACCGTCTGCTGCTTCTGGCCCACGGGCATCATCGCAATCATCAAAGCAGTGCAGGTTAAAGCTCTTTTACGCCCTAAGTATCAGTTTCTGGTACGTGTTGACGTTAGACGTGTCAAAGCTCGTTCCGGTGGATCTCACGCTTCGTGGTTCCTCTTGTTTATCCATGCTGATGTCGGGCCATGCTGACCAGCGTGCACTCAGCGTGCCCCGTTACGCAACAGCACCACCGTCAGCACAACGGGACCGAATGGATTTTGTCCTCGGGGCCCGCTCAGCCAGCTGTGAGCTGAGCGGAGCTGACAGGACGTTGGACCCGTGGTCGGAGCTGCGCGGCGTCTGCAGTGAAGTCCGTCCACACACTGGAGCTGGTCGGTTCCTGATCTGCCCGGGTTAATGATTCGGGTCCTCACGCTGAATCTGGTCCCACGAATACAAGGTCTAAAATAACCAGAACCCTTAATGACCTCCTGCAGAGTAAAACAAAAAAAAAGTGGGGAACTTAGTAAACAAAAACAGCAGCGTCACWGGAAATGCTATGGTCCCAGTTAACGCAACAGTAGCTAAAAACAAAAACTAGCTTAACTGTAGCTAAAAGGTCAAAGCAGTAGAACTGGAGTTAAAAAACAAAACTAGATAAATCACAGTTAAATGTTTTAGACCAGGGCTATTCAACTAAACTGCTCTGTGGGGGCCACAGTTACTGCAGGTCAGCAGCTCAGGGGCCGAACATCCAGCAGTTAAAGTTATGTAAATAAATGATATGGTTACGTAGAGCAGGATGTATAAGCTACATGCCTGAACACATATTCAACACATAGTTACTGAATGTAAAATAAACACTAGCTGATGATGTCGAGAGGATTTGACCCTGGAGCAGGAGGACAGTGTTCCCTCCTAGTGATGTCAAACTTAGTAGGCGGGGTCAGATCTTGAAGAAGATGTTATAACTAACAATACTTCCTGGATTGAGTTGCTGAAGAGAGAGGATAAAACATGGTCCAGCTCAGCGCTGTTGTATAACTCTTTTCACATTCAAATATTGGTGTATTTTCTTTCACGTATTAAGGTAAACATGCCTAATTTCCTATTTTCTTTCACAAGTTTTACAAAGATCTGTTACCTTTTGAAATAGCTTATTTTGCTGTATTTAATCATGAATACAACATACAGAACTCTATAAAAGTAATTAAACAATATCAAAAACAAAAAGAACACATTATGACACAAATATTATTTGGACATCTCTGTCTTGAATTTTTAAACCAATTTTATTTTCACTTAATAGTTTTATCTACAACTGCTTGTAATTTTAACTGTCTCAGGTGTTCATAGAAATGGGTTTTACCAGCTTCTAGCCAAGATTCAGATATTTCTGTCAAACATGTCTATATTTAACCAATAGAAAGAGTGATTAAAGCAGGAAACCAATTGGCAGGCCGAATTTTGGTCACTCGCGGGTCGGATGTGGCCCTCGGGCCGCCAGTTGAATAGCCCTGCACTGCAAAAACTGTCATTCTTACCAAGTTTTAAAACCTTATATCCAGCCAAAAAAATCTTTTTGATCTTGTTTTGAGACTGATTTACTAAACAAGAACTGATTGTGTAGAATAATAATCTTGTTTTCAGAATGTGTAAGATTATTTGTCTTGTTAGTCTGAAAATTTGACTCAAATTAAGTCAAAAATTTYTGCCAATGGAGTAAGAAAATTTTACTTGGTAAGATTCTTGAAATAAGAAAAAATTGAGTCAAATCAAGTATTTCAAGAATCTTACCAAGTAAAATTTTCTTACTCCATTGGCAGAAATTTTTGACTTAATTTGAGTCAAATTTTCAGACTAACAAGACAAATAATCTTACACATTCTGAAAACAAGATGATTATTCTTACACAATCAGTTCTTGTTTAGTAAATCAGTCTCAAAACAAGATCAAAAAGACTTTTTGGCTGATATAAGAGTTTAAAACTTGGTAAGGTGGACAGTTTTTGCAGTGGCCTCTCCATTTAAAGCTACTGGAAATGCCTCTGACTCAGAGGCTGCTCTGGTTAATAACCTGCTGAAAATGCTGCAGATTTTGATGAAAGTAGGGTCACTCCACCGGATAATGCTCATTTCATATTAATAACGCGTTACCTCATGTTTTTCCCTTTTTTTTTTTTCTTGTTTTATCACTCAGGTGCGCACGGCGATAGCCAGAGGGGACATGGTGACGGCGGAGATAGCCTCGCGCGAGGCCCGCAACTTCTCCTTCATCAGCTTGGCCGTGGGCATCGCCTCCATCGTGCTGTGCACCATCCTCACCGTGGTCGTCATCATCGCTTCGCAGCATCACGAYGACGAGTGGGAACCCTAACTGGTCGGGATACGTTTTCCGGCTCCTTTCGGTTGTTGTTTTTTTTTAGCTGGAGGRAAGAGTCCAGCTCCCACCTACTAGTGACCAAAAATAGGAGCRGAGGTTTTGAGCGTAAAACACCGGGTCAGAGTAGAAACAAATCGTTAACAGTTCATCCAGCTTTCATTAGTTAATACAGCCTTCACCGATGTGGTATAAAAAGATGGGTCACTGCTTAATATTTTAAAAACAAAATCTACTAAATAGGTTTATTAACTACTGTTTAAATCTGTTTTCTGTTTTTGGGAGTTGAACCACGTGTAAACAGTGTAGATTTACCAGACTGTGTTCAATGGGGCGATGGATCGATGTAAACCAAATAAAGACAGTGGAGTGAGTGTCTGTTATCAGCAAGCTATTTATTTTAGATTTAGTGCACATCTTAGCTGGTTTTTGATGACGCATAATTTATAAATGGTATATTTGTTTACTTGTTTATTATCCGTTATTTATTAATCTATATCTACCCTTGCAGTGACCTTGTCYGCTGTAACTTATAGTGATTTGTTGCAGCTACCTGATACTCTGAATTGGCTTAAAGTTGTGATGATCATATTGCACTTTGTAGTAACCGGATAAAATYGCACATTTCTAGATATTCTAGCGCATGATGAGTATTAATCCAGGCGAATGGGCTTTCGGTGCAAACGTCTCACAGCTGTCGGTGGGAACGTTGTGTAAAATTTTAACGATTGTGCTGCGGTATTTTTTATTTAAAATGTCAAACAAGCTGCTGCGAGAAGGAGAAAGAAGGATGTTAAGTTATTAGCTTTTCTGCGTGGTGCATCTGTTTCTCTTTCAAACACTGTTTTAGGGCAACGTTAGACTGTGAGGCAACAAAACCCTGCATGTCATCCACAATTTGTTTCTGTTTGTCTTATCTATTTGAACTGGATGTGTGTCTGGTTTCTACAATGTAGCGCGAAACAGCAGCAGTGCTGTTGTCTTTAACACAGCTGCAAAGTGACAGTATCAGCTAAACCTAAAAAAAGTAAGGAAATTTGTGTTTGGTTGATTATTTCTTTTTTGTAACAATGGGCCTCATGCAAGAACCGTTCGTACGCACAGATTTGTTCTTAAGTTGTGCGTACGAGTGATTTAGGAGAATTTGTGGCATTCACCAATGTTTTCGTATTCTAAGATTTTTTTCAGATACGAACAAAATTCACGAGTGGTCCAGACCTGTCGTATGTTTTACCAGCAGTCAGTCTGCTGTTATCAGACAGGTTTTCTTCATTAATAACTTTATATTTCGTTAGTTTGAAGATATTTTGAGTTGAAAATAAATTACACTCCGTAATTATGTTGACAATAGGCTAYTCTGCTTGAATTAGAGTTATAATTTTAAATGTAATAATTTAGACTTACAATATAAATTGTCCGTCCGTCCATTTTCTGCCGCTTATCCGGGATCGGGTAGTGGGGGCAGCAGGAGACCCCGCTCTCCCCAGCGACACCTTCCAGCTCGTCCTGGGGGGCTCCGAGACGTTCCCAGACCAGAGGGGATACATAATCCCTCCAGCAAGTCCTGGGTTTTCTCCAAAGTGCCAGACTTATTTTGAAAACATTTTAAAATGCTTATTTCAAACCCGCAACAGAGACCACCTGCGACCACGCAGCGCGCGGGGGGAGAGGGGGGGGGTGTACGGTGCGCAGCGCCGTGTCTTCTGAATAAATGAAAATGATTTAACACAGTTGTTTATACTTTTAGCAGCTCTTTTTATTCCACAGCTGACCTGCTAAAAATGACAGATTTTCTTTTCTGGATCTCTGACAGACGGACTTCAATCTCTGAACTCGTAAAGTTTTTCTTTTTAGTTTTCGCTGTCATTTTTCATGAATGGACACTTCCTTGTATCTGAGGCAGGAAACACAGCCTTATATGGTGTTTTTGGGGTGGTAATTATGCTAATCTCCTCTCGCGTGCACGAGCAGCTGGATAGAAAAGGTGTAAATTACGAAGCTCATTTACACACTTTTCCTGAAGATAGAAGAGTTTGTTGAATGACGTGACATGTTCGTACGAACCCTTCGTACGAACAAAAGTAAGAGAAATTTAGGATAAGAATACAAACATGTTCTTGCATGAGGCCCATTGTTTTTATCTTGGCAGTGGTGACCATGGTTCTGCTAATCAGCTAACAGCTAAAAGCAGAACTAATAATTAATTTAGAAAATGTTTTTTGGATGTGTTTTTACCAACTTTAAGTCCACCATATATGTGTAGCGTTAGTTTGCTGTGCCCACTGCTTCTCGGAAATAAATCTTATATCAGATGTTGCTGTATRTGGGTCTTCCACATGCCACTGAGGCCCTTGTTTGGTAAATTAATGATCCAATCAGCACCAAACAAGAGTCTTTCATGAGCGCAACCCACAAATGTGACCCCATTTTTAAGGAACTGGTTTCATCTGATAAAAGATTGATGGCCAAAATGTATTGTTACAAAAATAAAAACTAAATTTCCTACTTTTAGTGCGAAACCTTATTATTATCTAAATCTTTAGGGGTTTTGAAATGAATGTTTCCAGTTGGAAAGAAGAAAAATATTATAGCACTTTTGGAAAAATTGATACCCATATCACTGAACCTAATTTTCTACTGTTTCCATATTTTTCTGTGCTGGTCCATTTGGTGAAGGTATTAAAAAAATCTAAAGAGATCTTTATGAATCTAGTTAGTTGAAARTGAACATTTAATTAAAAATATGTTGTTATTAAATGCATATGTTCAATTATTTAAAAAAAAAGCATCTGGGCTTACAGAGACAAGGTTAAGAAAATTTAAAGTCATCTTCTAAAATAATGTTTGGAGAAAAACTGTGTTAAAAAAACCTACGTATAATCGATCAAATTTACTGTATTTTATTGCTTTTGACAAGTCAGTATTTTAAATAACGTACAACTCATAACATTTATTTCTATTAAAAAGTATATATTTAATGCTCATAAGCAAGTGTTTGAGGAGCTAGCGGCTGTTTTTACGTATTTCTCAGCTTCCTGTTGCTAAAATAGCAGCTGCAGCTACACGTTYACACAAAAGTGGTTTTGATTTTATTAGATTCTGCAACAACTAAAACAAAAAAGAACAAAAAAAGCCAAATAAAATATACCTCTAAAAATGTAGAGCATATACTTTAATTTAAGCTAATTCCCTGTTTTAGTTTTAGTTTTTYCTCTGTTTAAAAGCAGGCCCTGTTGTTACACAGGCAGTGATATTCAGTGTGTAAATGAGGCACGGCGCTGTTTGATGTTAGTGGTGGGCATGGTTCTGCTAATCAGCTAATATCAGAACAAAATTTTTCATTTAGTGGATTTCGTTTAGTGTCATCTTAGCRTAGCAGTTAGCAATTAGCTGGTTAGTGTTAGCTGTGCCCACCACTAACAGAAAGTCATGCACTGAGAGGTTTGCAGAATTTAATTTTTGTTTTGTCACACGAGGTTAGGATACATCTTCCTGTGAGCTAACAGATTATTCTTTTATTTCCTTTTTTTATTGTTTTTAAGTTCAGAGTGTGTTTTTGAGCTTGTAAATTTGAAGGGTTTATTCAAAGAGCCAAAGCTGTGTACATGTGGGGTTTATTATTATTATTATTATTCTCATGCTCTTGGCTGTTACATGCATCGGTTGTTTCTGAACTCATTTGTTTGAGTAACGAATAAAAGAATAATTCTGGTTTGTGAACGACACCTTTTTTCATTTCCTGGTCTCCATCCTCTCTCTCGGTCTCGGTGGCGTCTCTTCTCCCTCATCACTAAGATGCTATTTATAGTTGCCCTGTTTTTCTTTCTCCCCACTCTCTCTCTTTTTTTCCTTACTCTGTCAGAAAATGATCCACAGAAGCTCTCACAATCTTCTGTTTTAATCACAGGAGGTCTTGTGGGTTTTTGTTTGGCAGCCGCTGATTATTTTATGATAATTACACAGACTCAAACCATGCATTAAAGCCACYATGAAAGCATTAGAAAACCAGTCAGCTGTCATTGTTTAATTTCTCTTGTGGCTTTAATTGAACAAATATTATTTATCTCTAATTTTGATTTATCACCTCAATCAGTTAAACATTATTGGGTTTGTGCTCAAACTGCTGAACGTATCTTTTAATAAAAACTTGGTTTACCTCCAACAGAAARCTGGAATGAAAGTAAGAGGCAGCAGAGCCAGACAGTTTCTGGACCAACACAGATGGCCGTTTAGATTCCAGAGGAGCGCCGGTGTCTCTGAGATGGTTTAACTCRGCCCCTCGCTGCCCGCCTCTCTCCTCCATCCATGTGATGTCTGAGCCTCGGGGTCAGACACTCCGGCTGCTGCGCTGTGTGTGTTTGTGTCGACCTGCTGCATCCTACTGCTGCCATCTCAGCTGCAGCATCAGGATCGATGATGGGCCGAAGGCCGGTCGTGTTTCAAGATAAGGGGAAGCTAATATTTCAAAATGTATGAATCTGATTTTTTTTAGTTGTTTTTGGAGGTTTTCAGTTTATTTTAGATTTGTTTCTTATCAGTGTGCATTGCCAATGCAATGCACACTATTGTGATTCGTTTCCCATCCAAGTCATCTCAACTTTGCCATGCTTCTCCTCCTGCATACTTTGTCCTAGAGCTGCCATTGTAATTTATATCTGTRAAGCCCCTGTGCCAAATGATGGCYATGCCTTWTGKTGMCTGTAAAACTTATAGTTTATGAAATATTAATGTTTAATGAATTAYAATGGCAGTCAATGGAGCCTTKTATTGGTCCAATACTGCCCCCTGCTGCATCTACACAATTTGGTACTGCACCATAGTTTAATATTTCAACTCAGTAGTTCAGTGTTTACAGTACTAATATGATTGTATTTTGATGTTTTACTATAATATTGTCTTACTACTGCTCTATTTTTGTAAAATTATGCAGTTTAGTGTCAATAATTGTATTGGCAAGGTAAACTCTTTCTGCATACATACAATCCAAGCCCTGGGATTGTCCTCCGCCACATCTCCTATAGTGCCATGGTGAACACTGTGGGATTTCATTCAGGAGATCAGGGTTCAATCCCAGCTATGAACAAACTGTTTCAGTAAAACTACATAATTTCAGTTTGTTATACTGTGTTGTCACACAATTATCCTAATTACAAACACCTGCTGACTTGGCAGGTGTTTGACTGATAATAATTAGAAAACACGTGAACTTGGTCACACTTCATTTTGCAAGTCCAATGCTGCAGGCAAAGCCATGCTGCATGGCAATGCACACTTGTTTTTACATTGTAAAAACTCGTCTAGTTGTTTTCTATGCGTTTTTGTTTTTCCCCAGTGCTGTCACTTCTCTCCTTCAGTCTGCTTACAACCTCATCTTCTGCCCCGCCCACTCGCACCTGTTCCCAGTTGTCAGTTTTTTAAAAGCTGAAARGTACTAAGTGTACAACTAAATTTCAAATAAATGTACAGAAATACAATTAAAAGTAAAAGTGTTTTACTCACTGATGAGTTGCAGTGAGTAGCCGCCATCTTTAATTCTGAACTCCCACGTTCCGACATRGAATTTCCCCCATAAAAGTGTTTCAGTTGAAATTTACAACTTGTAAGTGGGAAATCCCCACTTCCCAGTACAACTGGGCCACAGCCAAAGTAGCCAACTGAAATGCAGTTGTAGTGTCCAAGAGTGGGTGGGCCTGTTCTCAGGAATGCACAGATGTGATGTCGCTTGGTTTTTCCAGCTTCAGAGCTCGGCGCATATTACCATATTAGGAAGAAGGTATACCGTGACAAAATTTATGGTACATCTGTGAAGCCTAACCTTGTACGCCCCTGCTCTTCGCCTTTGTTTTTCATCTTCCTTACTTGATGAATCATTTGGTTTGAAGGCCACAATTCGGTTTTTGGCTGTAATCTCCTGGACTGCAAAATAAAGATTCTTGCTGTTCAACCAGCCTGTTGCAGAGTTTCTCTCTTCATTGAGCAACAGCAGTTCCACTTCAACCAGAARACGTGGTTATTTTCACCTCACAGTGAAGTGAAGAATTTACATAGTGTATTTTGCCAGCTCTCAAGGGCCACATAAAATGCTGTGGCGGCCCACATTTGGCCCGCAGGCCTTGAGTTTGACTTGATTTAGCTCCTTAACAGTCTTTGTTCTACCTGTGAGCAAAAACAGTGCAGTTTCTGCCTTTAAACATTTCTAGGGGGTTTTCTTTTGAAAACAAGGGTGTCAGATGACTTCCTCTGTTTCTTACCTTTAGTTTGACACCCTTACAAAAAATACACAAAAAACAAATGTCGAAAGGCTTTTAATGAATTTCAGGGGCAACTGTTTAGGGGTTAAACAAAACCCAAATAGACCAGACTTCTGGATATTTTCTAAACTTGGAACAAACTACAGTATGTATAAAAAAACTGATTTTTAAACTATCTGTTTAAAACATTTCCCTTAAAAAATAAGACTTTTGCAGCATTTGATATTGACAAATTTGTATTTTAAAATTGTCATTTGTCTGTTTATGTTGCTTTTTAAAATACAAAAATAAAAAAGGTAAAGAAATGCTGAAGATTTTTCTAAACTTGGAACAAACTATGTATAAAAAAAACTGATTTTTAAACTATCTGTTTAAAACATTTCCCTTAAAAAATAAGACTTTTGCAGCATTTGATATTGACAAMTTTGTATTTTAAAATTGTCATTTGTCTGTTTATGTTGCTTTTTAAAATACAAAAATAAAAAAGGTAAAGAAATGCTGAAGATTTTACTTAAAGTGTTAAAGCTGCCAGATCAGCGTTACAGTATATGTTGTGAAAATAATACAGTACATAAGAAGTATGTGTACGAATATCTGCACCACTTCCTACAACCATGTAAACCGTTAGCAAAAACAGCTAAATTCAAACAAACAAACCTACAGCGTAAATATTTGTGCAAATAATTTAAACAGCAGTAAATAGTACGAACAACTGGGATTGTCTTGTACAAATAATGCTCCACAGCAGAGATTTCAGCAAACATCCAGGTGGTGCCAACACAGAAAAACAGCAGCTAATAAACAGCGTTAAGGTCCAAATGGGCCCATGGATTAATCAGAACAYGGTCAGTCCACTCTGGCTCCAGAGAAAAATGTTCTAACGTGTCAATTTCCCTCTGAAGCCTCCGGCTGCTCTTAAATCAGTTTCAGGCTCTGAGCTGCTGCAGTTTCTCTGCTTCGTCACTGAAGGATTTTATTTTTGATGTATTGGCAGAGGCAGACGGGGGCGGTGGYGCAGTGGTTATTGCGGGTCCGCAGGCGGTAGTTGGACGGTCCGGACAGCTTCTCGGACATCAGCAGCTTCACATAAACCGCGCTGTACGTCATCAGAAGCTGGTGTGCCTTAGCCTGAGGTGCACAGAAACACGTTCAGGTGTGTTTTTTGTTTTGTTTTGATGGTTGTATAAGATGTGGCTACAGGTCTATCATTCAAGGAACGACTCTCACCTGAGCAGATAAAGAAGCTTCAGGGACCAGGCTGAAGCTGGAAGTGATTTTRGTGCCCCCTGGTCGAGCAGATGACGTCACCTCCTCTCTTTCCAGCAGAGGCCTGCTTTCATCCAGTTCTTGTTCGCAGTCTGAGCCCTCGTGATCGACGACCTCAGGGTCGGCAGGAGGGACCTCGGACACCAAGACGACATGCGACATCCTGCTCTTCAGCTTGTTCTGATGAAGATAAAAGGAAAAACAAGACTTTAAAGGGGCAATATTATGTGTTTGTCAGGCATATATTTTAATACTATACCATAATAAAGTATCTATGTCACCTTTAGTTG